TAGAACTGTTAGGAAACATCCCCTCAAAATTCCAGTCTTCTAGCTTCTCACGTTATCGAGTCAGTAACTTACCCGGAGGAAATTATTTCACGGGCCTGCACATAGGTGCCACGCTTACCCGGGGGCTGGGTTTGAGCCCATTAACATTTGCATCCTGTACGTAGGTACCACGCTTACCCGGGGGCTGGATTTGAGCCCATTAGCATCTGCTTGGACGGGTAGGTACCACGCCGGGGTCTGGATTTGAGCCCATTAGCATCTGCTTGGACGGGGAACATTCCCCTAAAATTTCAGCTTCCGGGGGTTGGATTTGAGCCCATTAGCATCTGCTTGGACGAGGAACATTCCCCTAAAATTTCAGCTTTCCTAGCACCTCAGAACCCCGAGTTATGAATTTGGGCGGGAAAAATTTTGGGGGGCTCGTACGCGGGTACCAGGCTCCAGAACCCCGAGTTATGAATTTGCGCGGGAAAAATTTTGGGGGGCTCGTGCGGGGGTACCACGCTAGGGCTGGATTTGAGCCCATTAGCATCTGCTTGGACAGGGAACATTCCCCTAAAATTTCAGCTTTCTAGCGTCTCAGATCCCCGTACTATGAATTTGCGCGGGAAAACCCTAAAATTTCAGCTTTCCAGCATCTCAGAACCCCGAGTTATGAATTTGCGCGGGAAAAATTTTTACCCTAAAATTTCAGCCTTCTAGCTAGGGGTCCGTACGCTGGTACCACGCCTATCCGGGGGCTGGATTTGAACCCACTAATAGCCGCTTGGGCACAAAATTTCAGCCTTCTAGCATCTCAGAACCCCGACTTATGAATTTGCGCGGGAAAAATTTTGGGGGGGCACGCTTACCCGGGGGCTGGGTTTGAGCCCATTAGCATCTGCTTGGACGGGGAACATTCCCCTAAACCATGCTTACCCGGGGGCTGGATTTAAGTTCATTAGCACCTGCTTGGACGGGGAACATTCCCCTAAAATCAGCGTTCTAGCATCTCAGAACCCCAAGTTGTGAATTTGCGCGGGAAAAATTTTGGGGGGTCCGTACGCGGGTACACGCCTACCCGGGGGCTGGACTTGAGCCCACTAATAGCCGCTTGGGCGGGGAACATTGCCCCAAA